GTCGAGTACGCCCGGCCTCCCGAGGCAACGCCTCGGTCGGACAAGGCGACTCTCACCCACAGTACATTGTGCTTACGTGTATGGATGGCGGTGGCAGGAGAGAGGAATGGGGAGGGCGTGTGGGAGGGAGGGGAGGGGGCAGTCTCGTCGGCCGCCCGTGTAGGCACGGGGCCGTCGTTTGCTGCTCCGGCGTGTGGAATGTGGAGTCAGCATGGTGTGGGCGGCGGCGAGAGTGCACACGTGTTCTCTTTATTGGTCCTGTGGTACACACCATGGTAACTATGTTCGACTCTAGTCGTTGTGTTATGTCCGCGACGCCGGGTTCTGGACCTACGGTACTCCCACGCGCACCGGGCCTTGCACTTTGAATGCCGTGGGGCTCCTGTCGTGAGTTAGACGTGGAGACGCGAGGGTTGCCCCCCCTTGCCCCACCACCTCGTGTGTGTGGAGAAGTTTACCTTACCTTACCTTACCTTATACGTACGCGCCGCGTCATGCGGCGTGGCCGTGGGGCGGCACCGCTGTGTGCGAATCGAGAGGCCCGAGGGCCCCGAGGCGCGAGGCCGAGGGGGAGCCCCCCCCGCGACAAGCGACATCCCAGCCTCGGATCATCTGACGCGCCAGGGAAGACAAGGACGCACCGTTGAAGTGCAGCTGCTGGTGCTGCTGTTTTCGCCAAAAAATATCGCGTTCGGCGCGGGTTCGGGCGGGGAAGGGGGTCCGCGAGATCCTCCGGAAGGCGGCGGACGTGCTACAGAACAAGCTCTGACGCGGGCCCAGTACACCTCGACGAGGTGACTTGGACCACCAAGAATTGGCTGGGGCTGCAGAAGCAGCGGATCTCGGTCGTTCTTCATACGGCAATCGCAGAGCATATATTGTGAATGAGCTTGCCTGTGGGGTGGCGGGGGCGGGCGAGTCGCTTAGGCGGCTCCCGTGCGCCGTGGTGTACCCGTGTGTGTTAATTAAAGTCGCCACCAGTGCGCGCCAGGTCAGATCCTTCTACTCTTCTATAGACTCTGTTGTAGTGGGTGAAATGGTCCACTTAAACATTCATTTTCCAAGCCCCAAACCCAAACTGAATCTCGAGGCGTTTGAGAGGCGTTTTCGTCGGCGTCTATGATGACGGTGACAACCGGTAGATCGCTCCTCGAGGCATGGAACGATGGATGTTTGCACTGACTGCTTGGGGGCCTCAGGGCCCGGACTGCTTGGCCCTGGCGATGGAGCTGCAGCCGGGCGCGCCGGACGCCGCCGCCGCGGCGGCGGCCATCGAGTCGTCCGGGTCGCGCAGGGTCCCCCGAGTCGGCCATGGGAGCTTGGACCTGAACACAACCCCTACCGCACTCTTCACACAGGGGCTCTCACAGCAGACTGTGAGAGAAGAGGGTAGGACTCTGACCTGTTCCGACCCTGATCCGACTGTGATCAGACCTTATGTGAACACCGACCTGATCCGACCCTGTTAGGTTTGAACACGGTCGGAACAGGGTTGGATCAGGGTCGGAACAGATGAGCTAGGAGCTTTGTGAGGATGTCGGTGTACTTGCCCATCTCCGACGTGTAGAAGCCATAGGAGAAGGAAGGGACGTAGCCGTCGCTGTCGCTCATCGTCGATCCTCCAGTCAGAGCGGACACGGAGCCGACGTGGGCGGCCAGGGCTCGGACCAGCGGCGTACCGGCTGCGTAGGGCATGTAGGCGCCGCAGCTCCCACTCGAGGCGGTCTCCAGACGGCGGCGGTCGTCGTGCGGATGGTTGTGGCAGCACTTGAGTCCGGGGCGGTCGCTGCATGCGGCACAGATTGCAGCCTTGGCAGCCTCGGGCGCGGGCGTGTCGTAATCGGCAGGGATGAACTCGCTGTTTTCGTTCCAGAGGCCGTGCCCCTCGGTGACGTTGCGGGGCAACGCGCACGTTTCCGGGCAAACGCGAAGCACCTGAGAGGGGCGAGTAACAACTCAGCAAGTCTATACTCTATTCCCGCCCCTTGTGCATTCAGCTGAGGGTGGGCGGACCTCTGCGACGCAACTTTCTGGGCACGGCTCCTTCCCAACACGGCAGAGTCCGAAGCCTTTCGCGTGCTCGCACGTTGGAACAAAGCCCTGGTCACAAGGCGACGGCGGTGGCAGCGGGGGTGGCGCCGGTGGCGGCATCGGGTCGTCCATGAACGGCGCAAAGAGCGGGCGACGGCTAATGGAAGAGGCGGAGGACGCCGGCAGGGGGCTGTCGGGGTACCTCTCGACCCCAGCCTTCATCTCCTGCAGGTTCAGTGTCTGTAGGACCGAGATCACGCCCGGAATGTGGATCGCAGGGCAGGCGTGGCGAGCGCACTGAAAGGCCCTTGGCAACATCGGCGAGGTGAAGCTGCGTCGCGTAGCCGTAGAGAGGTAGGTAGTCCTTGACATGGAACTCGCATTCCTTGGAGCCTGGGACGTTGCACGCATCCTCCTCCGTGCCCATCTTGCGGCAGATTGGACCGACGCAGCCAGTCAACCCAGAGAGCAGGGGGTCCCAGTCGTACGAGCTGGATGCCAAGCTCCAAAAGGTCTCGCCACACAGCTCATTCCATGTCTCCATTGTGCCGAGGGTCTGGTCAAACACCCAGGCGCGGGTGGGCTGTTTGGTTGCCAGGGGCTTCGCCCGGATGCGAGCCCCCGGCCTGCTCTCGACGCACGCAGGGCCGAGGTATTTCTTGAGCTTGAACTCGACGTTCTTGGTGTTGAGCACAAAGCCGGTTCTCGATCTCCCTTCCTCCAAGCAGTCCGGGCCCACGTAGTTCTTGAGCATAAAACCCCAGCCCCGTGCAGTCATGTTAACGTAGCCCAAGCACTCTGCATTGGAGTTGCACTGCGCCTCGCAATCCGCCTGGCTCGAACAGACGCCGAGGTCGGAGTTCTCTCCTGGCGCGGCGCTGCAACCGGAGCCCCTGACATTCGTGTCGGAGATGGGGCGGTACCTACAAGGGAAGGGGCGCGGTGACACCTCCCGGTCTAGCGCAGACTCATACCGCCAAGTAAGGCTCGACCTGTCGTACGACTCCGAGTAGCCGAGGCAGTTGTCGTCCTTGGTGCACAGCTCCTCGCAGTCGCTCTCGTTGCTGCAAGTGCCAATGTCGACGTCGCCGCCTGGTGCGGAGGAGCAGGGTGCGACGACCGTGTCGGGAAATGTCGTGTAGTTTGCCGGCGCGAAGTCGGCCGACTCCTCATCGGTTTGGAGGCAGCTGAACGTCGTGGGAGTGGACGGAAACGTGCCGGGCGACTCCAGCGTGCGGCGTGTCATCGGGTCGGGCTCGTCGTAGGCGAAGAAGAACGGCGGATGCTTGCACTGCTCAAGGAGATGGGCCTTGGCCTCCGGCTTGACCTTTCTCCCCTGCAGCGCCAACCCGAGCGGAGAGAGGGAAGGAAACCAGCAAGGCACCGCGGCGCCAGCCTCCTTGCCGACGTCCCGGCCGACGGTACTGTGGTGGAGCACCGGGTCGTCCGTCTCTACCTCCTCTCCCTTGAACGCCACACAGCTCCATGTGCCGGAGGGGCAAGTTTCGAGGGGCATGTAGTGATGCTTCGAGTCTGTGCCCACTGCTGCCGCCCTCGTTGGGGTCGGCTCCCGGTCCTTGAAGTCCGGATTGTGTTCAGTCGGGTTGCAAGTGTTCGACACTGCGCACGGCGTGTAATCGGGCGTGCTCCCGAAGCGAGCGTTGCACTGCGTGCCGTCCGCCGGAGCCACGCACGCGAGGCTGCCCGCCGAGAGAACTGGCGCCGAGGACTCGAGGCTTCCGCGCGGTGGCAGCACCACCGTCCCCGGCAGAGGGCAGATCTTGGTCCAGCCGGGTTGTTCGCGCCAGTCCGGACGTGGTTGTGGTTGCCATTCCGGATTTGGGTCACAGACCCCCCTGTTTGGAATCGGGGTTTGGGCGACCTCCTTCCATTCCACCACGCAGCTTCCGTCGGTGCAGGCCTCCACTTCTGCAGCAACGTGCGGGACGACCTCCGGGGTGACGACTTCGAGCGGCGGCGGGAGCGGGGGGGGCGACGGCGGCGGCTCCGGGTAGCCCTTCCATTCGCACTTGTAGTTGCTGGTGTAGATTGTTGTGGGCATGCAGCCTCGACCGCCGTAGCACTGAGTTGTGTATGTGTCGCGGCGCGTTTGTGTGCATGCGTAGTTGGTGCAGCACGGCCCGTAGTCGGGCTCGTCCTTGCCAGAGGATTGCCCTTCCCTGCACCCTTCAATGTCTTTGTCAAAGTCTCCAAAATCGCAGCCGCCGAAGATATTGACACTACAGGTCGCCGAATGGACCGGCGCGCCCGAGCCTTGGCACCGGTCCGGGCCGCCCCACTGCAACTTGCGCCGCCTGTGCCAGCACGTCGCGCAGCATCCGGTCATGGCGTCTGCGTGATTACAGAGCCCATTCTCGGCGACGTCGTGGCAGCTCGCGATGCCGACAAGCCCGAGACTCACAGCGTGCTGCGCGACGGCAGAATCGTCCACGTCCTGGCAGTTGCTTGGCTGCGAGGTTGTTTGGTCGACTGCGTGGTCGACTGCGAACCCACGGCCGACAGCGACAGCACTGACAGCGAGCAACCAGCGCAACATGGCTGCAGGAACCGGCAAACGAGGGAGTGAGCGTGACCTCGAGGAGGTCGTCGGGGTGAGGGGGTGCCGGAGGGACAAGGCTGAGGTCATGGACGCGGGTGCCTTGTGCAGGCGTGAGCGTCGAATTGACGCGGCTGCAGGTGTGGGCTCGCGATCGTCAGAGAGGGCCGGGGAGAGCTCACGCCTGGGGCTGCCTGAGGCTGAGGCCGAGGCCCCTCGGCGAAGAAACACCCCGCGGCCGCTGTTTTTGAATTTGAGCGTTTTGACAATGAATTAGATTGGCTCCGCCGTCGGCTCCGCCGCGAGCGGCGACGGTGAGGCCGCCGGGGCTCGCCTATACCGGCTAGTGTGGAGCTCTCAGTGTGGTTGCGTGTTTTACTAGTGATGCTGCACTAGGCGCCCGTTTTTAGCAAAAAGCAGATACCACATCGCGCGTGGTCGTCGAAAAACCGCATGTTCGCCTTTTGGACCCCTTCGTACGGCTCCAAAAACCGCTCCTTAACGACAACTACGCGGCCCGGCGGTCGATCTGCGCCTTCTCAGCGGTGGAGGGGATGTGGACGGTACGTGCGGACCGCGTGGTGCTGCGATGGCTTGACGAGTGCGACTCCCAGCGTCGACTTTTCGACCCCACGGAGCCTCTGCTGCTCCGGGGGGGGGGGTCTGCAGACCACCCGGCCGAACTTCAGAGTCGCGGTGCTCCTCAAATACCGCTCAAACGCCCACGATGTTGTGCAGGGGACATATGCTGATGATCCTGGCCCGATTGGCTCGCTCAGAAAGCTTCTGGGCGGTCGTTAAGGTTCGCTCCCCGCACACCGGCCCCGGAATAAGATACATCATATGAGAGGTTCCCGCCCGACTATCTTTGCGCTGGTCAATGCGGGCACTGTGAAGGCCCTCATGACCTACGACAGTTGCCGTTTGAACGCCGACCCGCCGAACCCTGCGTCGCTCCACACGCTTCTTGCCGGAGCTGCTTCCGACAGCCAGCTCCAGGCTCCGGATGACATCCCAACCCAGGACCACGCGGATGATGAGCGGAAGGCTGAGTTTTGCGGTGCTGTGCCAACTTGCAAAGCTGCACTACCCGGCTGTGCTCGCCCGCACGCTGGCCGAGGTGGTCCCTCGTGGGGCAATGGCCAACCCCGCTTCTGACGAGGCTCGGTTGAAGGACGCGGTGGCGATGCGGCAACGGCTGGTCTCCGCGGCCGAGGCGACGTTACAACATTCGCTTCGTGGCGGTCGTGAGGCCAGCGCCAAGCAGCTCTGCAAGACGCGGCTCGCGCTCGAGCGCGGCACTCTTGAGGTATCCCGTCTGGACAGCGGGGAGTATGGTAAGGTCTCATTTGTGGAGAAGGAGGCTCAGCCGCTGGTCTTGGTGGGTGGCTCTCTATACTCTGCGCGAACTGCAGGAGACGGAGACCATCGCGACAAGGTCACACGCGGACTCTCCACCCTCTCAGCTCACCATCTCGCCTTCTCTGTCGATATCCTGGCCCAGGCCCATCAGTAGCAGGCCTGAGGTGTCCCAAACCGCACTTACCTTGGGTCTGAAAGCTCACACCAGCTCGTAACACCCCACACACGGCCCTCACACGCACATTACGAGCTCACAGACACCGCCGGCACGCGCACTCCCACTTCACACACGCCCAAGCACAGCCCCGCCAAAGCACAGCCCTGCTCAGAATGGGCAAGGTCCACCCTTGGTGACCCAGGCAGTCCCTGGCTCGCCACTGCACTCGGCTCCTCTGCAGCTGTCTCGGGCTCTCCCACGACAGCACACCGACGGCAAGCTTTGACGCCCGTCTGGTGGACCTGCTGCGGCCACGGCCGATGCACTCATGCAGTCTAATGCAGCTTGGTGCAGGCCTCAACTCAGATGCCGACCAGCCTGGTCGTGGCGGCCTACGAGCGGCGTTGTGTCCGGTCGACGCTTGAACGAGAGCGTCGAGCAGCGCCAGCGCGCAGCGGTCACCAGTGGGCCGGAATCCAGGCGAGGGCCACCGCTGAGAAGGCGCAGATCGACCGTCGGGCCGCGTAGTCGTCGTTAACCCTGGTAGGTGGACAAAAATATGCGTTTTTGGGCCTCCCCTCCCTAACATTAGCCGGCCAAAATGAACTCTGACCGGTTAATATTAGGGAGGGGGGGGCGGTCGGGTGTCAGACCTAGCGCTAGGCGTGCGAGGCTGACGTATTTTGGACAATCCACCTACCAGGGTTAAGGGGCAAAGTCGGCTTTCCCAGGGTCAGGGAGGGGTGTTCGAATAAGTATTAAAGAACTGGCTCTCACAAGACCGGAACAGGAAGAGAAATGTAATCCACACACACAGTTGCACTCCACGCTCTACCCCAGAACGCAGAAGTGCGCATCCTCCATGCACTTTTGGTGCGCATCCTCCATGATTTCATGTGCGCCCTCCGGCATGTCGTTTACCATATGTGATATGTCAACTGGGGGGGGGGGGGGGGCAATTTGCGACGCTTGCGTTTTTCTACGCTTCATCACGTGAGTCGTGAGACCTGAGACGTGACTGAGCTCTGTCCTCTGACGTCTCTCTCGAGGTTCTCGACACTCGAGGTGGATATCCTTTGGCCGCGTTGGGTAGCGAGGATCCACTACTCTGAGGGCCAGCGCGTGAGGGCGCTGGGCGGGTGGCCATGCCAGCACCGCCTCCTCCTCGCCTCGCTCAGCCGCTAGCACGGCCGCGTCGGAGCAGCTCAGGGGGCTTGTTGTGCGAGTATATGGGCCAAAAGCGTCGAAAATGTCCCAAAAAGCGCGTCTGAGTTTGTGGCAGCCCCACAGCCGGCGCGCGCCGCCAGGAAGCACCGCTCGCGTGTCGGCCGCACTCCCTGGCACCCAGGGAGTGCGGCCGACCGACCAGACCGAGTAGGCTCGATGCCGCGCTCGCTGTGGGGCTGCCACAAAGTCGCCGCCGAGCGTGCCACCGACGGCGTCCTGGCGGAGGTGGTGGAGTGTGAGATCTGAGGCTGCGGAGGTGACGCCTGAGGTACCGGCCCGTGCACGGCAACTCAGCCGGCGACCGCCACGGGCTCAGACGAGACTTGTCGACTCGTTACGGCTCAGCTTCACCGTGGTCATCGGGCGTCTGTCGACGTCAGGACCACCCATACAGCTCGCGGGTTTGAGGTCGCAAGAGCCAAGATGGTGGCGTTTGGACATCCCAGCCATCACTCAAGACAGCCTGTAGGTGATGGCGGGACGGCGCAGTGTTTGTGGCACTCGGCAGTAGGCACCCGCGGCACGGCCCCGCTGTCGGCTCTCGCGGGCTGCGGAACCGGCCCCAGAAGGGGACGGTCCGGGCGAGTGTGGCAGCTCCTGCGCTAGTATGGGCAACCTCTATCACAACACTACTGATCCTGGTCATTAGAGCTGCCAGGGATAGCGTCAGGAGCCGGTAGGAGTCAAAACCCCTCATACGGCTCTATTTGAGACATCGTGGCCCATATACTCGCACAACGAGCCAGGGATCCTGCGCCGCCGCTCTGGCCTCTGCCCGCGTGCACTCACCATCGTCTGGGTTCCGGCTCTTTGAGGTGTAGGGCACGCATCGCATTTTCATTGAGATCTCTCTCGAGGTTCTCGAGGTGGATATTTGGCCGCGTTGGGTAGCGAGGATTGGTGTGACGCGATCCACGCAGGCGTGGTTTCTGACGGCCGACCGTCAGTGCACGGAGTTGCCCCTTCTCCGACTGCCCCGGCTAGTTCCCGAGGTCGTCGGGTGTGACCCCTGCGTCCCCCGAGACGCACCTAGCGCGGGTGGGTTGGAGGGGGGCTCGCTGCAGGGAAGGGCTGTGTAAGAAGCCGATCCCCGTAGTCTGCCCCGCTCCTCCCCATCGGGCCGCATGAGCGGCCACGCCTCGCAGATTCGTTTTCGCGCCTGGGTCAGGCGCGCGGGGCATCCCCCGGGTCGCTCGACCAGCGATCCGAAGAGTGGCCGCTATGCGAAGGAAAGAGTGGGGCCCTCGGGGTACGCCTCGTCCGGCCCCCTCCGAGGGGGGAAGGGAATTGCGGGGTCCCCACGGGCGCCTCAGTTCGGCCCTCCCGAGGGGGGGAGGGGAGCAAGGGGGTGGGGGGATTGGGCTGGTGGGGAGGGGACTCGGTTTCATGTGGCTAATACTTGCCTTTCGGGGAGGGGCCTTAGGAAAGGCGCGCATGCAGCCCTACGTCTTCCCCTCCTCCCTCGAGGCAGCGAGTAGGCAGCGAGAGGAGGTCTCGAGCGCCTATATGAATGGGAATGGGTGGTCGGGCGGGCGGGCGGGCGGGCGGGCGGGCAAGCAGGGAGCGGCGGGCGGGCGGGGCGGAGCGGGCGGGCGGGGTGATCGGGGGAATCGTGTCCACAATCAGCAGCAGCGGAGCAGCAGCAGCTGCTAGCAGCTGCTGCAGCAGCAAGCAGCAGCCTGCCGCAGATTGCTGCCGTTGTCAGCGCCACGATCCGCCGCCGCGCCGCCGCGCCGCCGCCGCCTGCGCCGCCTGCGCTCGCCGCCGCCTCGCAGACGACTCCTCTCGCATTGAGATCTCATTTTATTTAGAAAACGAATGAAAGAGTCCACAGTACTGTACGCGGCCCCGCAAACATAAAACACGCAGAGATGGGGAGGAGGTGCAGAGGGTTCGAGAGCTGCGCCTCGGCGGCGGGGTTGCTGGCACCCGCGATGCGGCACGGCAGAGCGGCGCCATCGGCCGCCCTCCGCCCGCCCTCGCCGACACACGGCGTCGCTCCACCCTGCCCCCCGCTCCCCGCTCCCCGCTCCCCGCTCTCCCCTCCCCCACTCCCCCGCCTCACCAGCCCGGCGGAGCGAGGGCGCGGCGGCAAGGGCTAGGGGAGGCAAGGGCGAGGGGAGGCAAGGGCGAGGGGAGGCTAGTCGCGGATGCCGAGCAGCAGCTTCGTGCGCCTGCGGAGAGGCGCGAGGGGAGAGGAGGGGTGTGTGTTGGGGGGGGGGGGGGGGGAGGGAGGGAGGGGGAGGCTGGCATCTCTCTTGATTGAGGTCGTGGCCGACCACCTCGGCGACATCTCGGCAAACCTCGGCAAACCTCGGCAAACCTCGGCACATCTCGGCACATCTCGGCGACATCTCGGCGGATCTCCGCGACATCTCGGCAGATCTCGGCGACATCTCGGCGGATCTCGCGCCTGTGGATGGCGTCTTGCGACGGGTCGTAGGCTGGGGTGCTCCTATGGACATGTCTCGGACATGTCTCGGAGATGCGACGGGTCGTAGGGGTACTCGGGTGCGAGGGTGGCGAGCCAAGAAGCTTCGCATGGGACGACGATGAGGGTGAGAGAGACAGACGCAGCACGGCGGGAGGGTGAGAGGGGTTGACTAGGTCCAGCCCTGGGTGGCGCAGGTTGTGACATTTGGCGATTCCGCGACTTACTGGGCCCCTGAGCCGCTACCCGTGTGCGATTTTTTGTGGCCCGGACATGATACTGATAGTAAACGGGTCAGAACCGGCCAAACACAGGCTACAGCCCCACACACGCGCCCGCCATAGCTCCTGGAGAGCATGCGCGAGTGACGCGCTGCAAGCCGCGAGAGTGGCATCAGAGGCAGGAACGACGTGCTCTTGCTGCACCTCGCAGATGCACCGAGTGTGCTCGCAGTGTATGCCACGGCCACTGCCTGCGGCATTGCTCTCGTGCAGCTAGGCGATGCAGGTCCATCAGCAGGGCTCATCCAATGCGAGCGCACATTGTGCGTAGCCGCGGGCAGGTGGCAGTTCACGGCCGCACACCGGCTGTGGCGGCTCGTATGCCCCCGGCAGTGCTGCTAGTCATCAACTTGCGTATTAGGGCCGCAGCAGACTGCTGCTGTGGCAGCAGCAGCAGCCTGCTGCTGCCTGATTCAGTCAAGCCAGCGGTGCAGCGAGGCGTGCAGATTTCGCGCGGATTTGTCCCTCCTGAGGCTGAGCGCATTCGAGCCCGTCGACCGGAGTTGGATGGTACCCCGCGTCTCACTGAGACGCGGGGTACTGGCCATGGCCGGACGGCCGAGCGTGAGGTGGCGAGCGGAGCGAGCGACAAAACAACGAGAAAAACACCGATCTGACGATGTCATCTGACGATGTCAGCTCGCCCTGACCAGTTCGTAAAGCTGATCCACCCTCGCACGCGAGTTTGCAAGCGCGTTGTCGGCACCCTCCAGCGCAACCCTATCTGCGCTCGGTTCATCAGATGCGAGCAGCGCCTGCAGCCCGTCCACCACAGAGTTCTCCCAGTCATGTGCCCAAATGCGCCCGCCGTTTTTCGTCATACCCCGCCCCTCCGATAACCGCCGACTTTGACCGGGTCCGGTTCTACCTCACTCTCCTCTCTACACTTTCAGATGTCTGTAATAGATAAGATGAGAGTGAGGTTGAACTGGACCCAATCAAAGTCGGCGGGCGAGGGGGGGGAACGATAAAAAACGGCGGGCGCATTTGGGCACATGACTGGGAGAACTCTGTGGTGGACCCGCTGGGCGTACAGAACGTCAGATCTGCGCCACCCAGGGCTGGACCTAGTCGGTTATTTATTTATTACCAATTTAAGCTCACGTCTGAAACGTGTTTCCACGCCCCCCCCTCTCGACCCCCCATCCAGCTCCACATTCAAGGCCAGGCCCAGGGCAACCCCAGTATTACACTCGATTACACTAACGACACCTCTGCGCCCCGCGAGGCTCGAAATCACGAAGCAGCCCAGGGATTGAAAATAGGCAGCGTGTTGACTGAGAAGTGAGATTGTTGTGTGCGAGAGGTGATGCTGATGGAGAGGTGCGGTGCAGCTGGAGCGTCTAGCGACTTGCGGTCGGCCGGGCCTTCAGAGGGCGACCTTGAGGGCCTCCACCATGTCCCTCTGCTGGCCCTCCGCCAGGGGCCAGTGCTTTGTGTCTCCGTTCCCCTCGTCCGAAAGGCGCGGCGAGAGCGACCTGTTCACAGACCACAGCGTGATGAGACGCTACTCTTGCAAGGCTCGCCCTCGCGTGGAGCGGCGAGAGAGCGGCCTATGCACAAGCGTCGTTGTTGACAGATCTTCCTTTTCTGGACAGCTCAGCTCGGTGTGTGCACGCGAACCCAGGGAGGAGCCTCGGCTTCGAGCCGGGCCCGCTCACGTTGGTGGCGGCGCCGGAGCTCACCTAGTGCAGTAGTAGCAGTAGTAGCAGTAGTGGCAGTAGTGGCAGCAGTAGCAGCAGCAGTAATGGCAGCAGTAGTAGTAGTAGTGGCAGTAGTAGTGGTACTAGTGGTAGTAGGCAACCTTAACCAAGATCTAGATCTGGCCCCATCCATGCCCAAGCGACTGGCGACCGGTTCGCACCTCAAGGTGAGTGGTGGAGAACCCCGAGTGCGAGCGGCGGAACTCGAGGACGCCGGGCTTGACCTACCATCTCAGGCAATCTCGGGTGGTCCGGCGTCAATCTCGGCAAAGCCTGCCCTTGCGCAACACAAGTGAGATGAGCCGAGATCTGGCTGGGATCCCGCTCATGCGTCCCGTGAGCTAGTCCGGCCGAGGTTAGCTCCGATCCAGCCGTGATCTGACCTCGAGATTCGGCATCTCCTCGATTGGCGTGCCGTCGAAGTACGCCTGCTCACAGCAGGACGCTGTGAAGAGACGCCTCTCGCCGCGACCGCTCAATGCGCGCCAGCCGAGACAGGTCAGCATGCCGGCGACCTCCCGGCGAACTCTCTGGCTATCGGCTGACTCTCGTATACGACCAACTGTGGGCCTGTATGACGCGGTAGACAGCGCGGTCGCAGATGACCACAGCGTTGCCGACAGAGGACTCGAGCATGCCTGTTCACATCACGAGCCGTGAAGAGACGCCGTTCACAGCGCTGTCGCCCGAGAGGACCGACAACGTACAGATGATGTCGTTCATCCGGAGGACAACGTCCGCGTATGACTCTCCGCCCGCGCCGGGGTAGCGGTAGGTAAGCTTGTCAGCCTGCCCACAGCTGCAGGGTGAAGAGACGCTGTTGGGCATTCACAACCCCACCTGCTCGGTCAGTGCGTCGGCCTGCCTCGCCGCTGCCTCCCTCGGGAACTTGCTGCGGATCTCCGCCTGCGTGATTATCAATCAATCAATCGATCGATCGCGAATTGAAGCTCGCTGCGGATCCCCGCCTGTGTGAGGCTGTCGAGGAAGCCAGCGCACAGCTCGTTGGCCGCCGCCTGATGTGAACAGCGCCTCTTCACAGCCGCAGCGTCTCTTCACAGCTCGTGCGCCGCAGCCACCTTGATGAAGAAGCAGCGCCATGTCTCCCCGTATCTCCCCGTATCTCCCCACATCTCCCCACATCTCCCCGCATCTCGTGCGCCGCCACCTTGATGAAACAGCGCCGGTCCGCGCCCTCGCAGCCGCTGTCGCAGCCTCGCCGCTTGCAGTTGGGGCACCGCTCGCCGGGGGGTTGTGGCTCTGTCGCCTCGCAAAGCGCCTTTAAGGAGATGTGGAGGGATGTGGGGAGATACGGGGGAAAGTTGGCGCCGTCGCCTCACGAATCGCCTCCATCATTGCGACGTACCGCTTGAGCGTGCCGCAGATGACCGCCGCAGGCGTGCCACCGATCTCGTGCTCGCGTCGGACGAGGAGCTCGGCGGTGGCGCGCGCGTACTCGCTCCCCGCAGCTGTGAGGCTGGAGTCGCCGCCCAGCACACCGGCGCACGCGTTGCGCGTCTCGCCGACCAGCACCAGCCAGATGGCCTGTTCACAGCGTGCTGCTGTGAAGAGACGCGGTTCGCGATCGCGTCTCGCCGACCAGCACCAGCCAGATGGCCTGTTCACACGTGCTGCTGTGAAGAGACGCGGTTCGCGATCGCGTCTCGCCGACCAGCACCAGCCAGATGGCCTGTTCACACGTGCTGCTGTGAAGAGACGCGGTTCGCGATCGCGTCTCGCCGACCAGCACCAGCCAGATGGCCTGTTCACACGTGCTGCTGTGAAGAGACGCGGTTCGCGATCGCGTCTCGCCGACCAGCGGCAGCTAGATGGCCTGTTCACACGTGCTGCTGTGAAGAGACGCGGTTCGCGATCGCGTCTCGCCGACCAGCGGCAGCTAGATGGCCCTTGGGCCGAGATGGATCGACCCGAGCAGGCGCTGCACCTTGCGCTCCACCTCGCCCTTGACGAGCTTGCTCTCCAGCTTGCGGCCCGCGTCGAACATCTTGATGTACGCCGCAGCCTGCGTTCATACCATTGGATTTGGGTACCGGGTTTGGTAGGGTACTGTGCATCGAGTGGTCGGCCGCGGCCCCATCGCCCTCAGTCTCGCCGACCGGCTGGTAGACCTTCTCGTACTGCCGCACGCGTGCCTTGAAGTCGGCGAGCGCCGCCTCGGGGTCGGTGCCGCTGTAGTCGTCGTTGTCCACCTTCATCCGGAACTGTTGTTGGAGAGGACCTTAATTACAACCCCCCATTTAACTACTGTCGCCCACCTTCATCCGGAAGTTGTTGGAGAGGATCGCCTGATTGATACAAAAAGGGAGCTGTTGCCGGGGAGGACCGCCTCAGTTAAGAGCGGCGCGTGAGATAAAGGCAGGGTAACGGCCGAGAGAGGCGTTGCGGTCAGGCAGGATGCTGATGGGAAAGGAGGATGCACCACCGACGATCGCCTCGGCTGAATCTCTGCAGAATCTCGGATAAACATCGCCTCGTCTTCCGTGATGCTCTCGACAAAGATCAACCGCAGCCCTCCGTCCTCCTCCCGCTCCCGCGTGCACCGCTCGATCACCTTGCGAGATGCAAAATACGCTCAGGACTCGTGACCGAGTGTCGTGCTCATGTGAAAGTGTGCTACTCGAGTGCGACCGTCTCTGCTTCAACCCATAACGTGCTGGTGTCCGCCTCGTGGTCTGCCTGTGCTCTCAGCTCTCGAACGAGCCGACCTTGGCTCTCCGCTCGATTGTCGTGTTTGTGGCGTCCAGGATACCGCACGCGCATCCGCCGGTCACTGTTTGCTCCTGGAGCCAGTCAAGCAGCTCGTCGAGGCAGTCCATCGCCATCTGCTCCTTTTGAGCCTGCGGTTGCATACCAAAACCTGTGAGAAAACAACATGCCCTGTGACACACGTCCTGACAGTGCTTCCTTGCTCCTGTGCAGACTTATTGCTCGGGTCGAAGAAGGACGCGTCGGTGCCCGCCAGCCCCTGCTTTCGACGCAGGCTGCCAGCGTTGAAGAGCTGAGTCGGGCAGCCGAGGAAGTTGAGGTAGCGGACGATGGCTTTTGATATGTACGACTTGCCACGCGCCGGCAGGCCGACCATCGCAATCACCACACGCTCCTGGAAGACCGTGTACGAGTTCTGCGTCAGCATTCTTTCCGGCGCGCGAAAGGTTGGTGCGCGCCGGAGCAGGCCGCGCTTGGAGTCTCCGTCGCTGTTTGACCGGCTCGGAACCTTGTGAAGTTGTTCGGGCTCGCTCTGCATCATCAACCAGAGGATTGCTGGGTGGATGGCTTGGGAACCGCACGATGACTCCTCACGACCACAACACGCCGTCCGTGCGGCCCTGCGAATTAAAAAATCCGGTCGCAGGCTAAGCTCAAAAATCCGGTTTATTTGAAAAATCTCTCTCTCTTTATTTGACGGCCGCGAGGACGCCGCCTTGAGAGCGCCTTCGTTGTGAATAAGCAATCGCTCTCGGGCCCACAGCCCACAGACATCTCGCATACCCGCCGCCCCCCCGCATGGTGGTCCGGCCCACCACAAAAAATCACGGTCCCCTCTCTCGAGGTTCTCGAGGTGGATATCCTTTGGCCGGGTTGGGTAGTGAGGATTGGTCCGATTTTTTTCAAAGGAAGGACGCGCGGCGGACCGGAGAGCCCACGGCGGGCACAACGCTATTGCATGCTCTCGCGAAGAGGCACTTGCAGCGCAGGTGGATGGGCGCCGCTGAGAGCAGGTAGTCCGGCAGATGGCCCAAACTGCACGTACATTGGCCGACGCGACTGGCACGGTGCTCTCTTGGTTGGCTCGTGCGCGCGCAATGTGCGCCCCGCGCTTGAGCAGCACCAGCGAGCATGGGTCACCTCGCTGCTAGATCGCACGGCTGGCAGCCTGCTGATTTTTGAGGACGAGCAGCGCGCGGGCGACCCAGACGGCACGCGCGCAGCGTTGCGAGGGTGGGCGGCAGCTGATGACCGCGTGCGGCTGCTTCTTGCGCAGCCGCTCCTGTACCCGCAATGGTCGCGCACCCAGCGGCTGGCGCTCTGCCGCAACCAGCTGGTACGTGAGGCAGCCGCCTCGCTGTCTGCCCACGGCACTTTCCTGTCACTCGACCTCGATTGCCATGCACCACCCGTGGACCAACTCGTTCGCGTGATAGCGTCGATGGCCACGCAGCCGTGGGATGTGCTGACGGTAAACACACGGGCACCCACCCTTTACTACGACCGGTGGGCGTTGCGTTCGAATACCCTCGGCCTCAACTACGATTGCTGGTTCAATTCGACGCAGCGCAAGATGCACGGCAGCTGTCCAGAGTATGCGATCACCATAGACCCGGCTGCGCCCACGCTTGCCGTCGATTCCGCATTCAATGGCCTGGGCCTCTACCGCGCCGCCGCCTTGCGCAGCGGAGCCGACTGCCGCTATCGCGGGACGAAGAACTCGTACATGTGCGAGCACGTACCGTATCACCTGTGCCTGCGGAAGCACCGCTTGGCCATCGGTGTGCTGCCCTCACTCGCTACTGCCTGCGGCGCGCCAATCCTCTCACGTCGGCGCCGGCACATTCACTACCTGGCAAATGGCAGTGTACAGATGGAGGCCTACGCTGCTTCGATAGACCCCTCGGGCAAGTCGAAGAAGTCGATGAAGCACCATAAGCCTCGTCCTCGAGAAGCGCAACGCCACCCTACTGGCCATCGCCCATCCCCTTGAGCGATCGTGCGTTGCAACTGAGTGCACGGCAGGGCTGGAGACGTGGAGCTGCCATGCAGAGCTGCCATCGAGGCAGAGTCTAGCCGTTTCCGCCGCTGTTAGTGTTATATACATGCAGTGTTTTTTACTCCAGGCTTGAGGCACCTGCACCTGTAGCCTCGCTCGGTGAACACTGTTTTGATGCAGAGCCGAGCGCGCAGCGCCCAGCGGCTTCGCGCGGCGATCCGAACCATGCTTCGCCGCACTCTCAACAGACCACTACAAGGCCGGGGTGAGATCCGGCCACTTATACGCTAAGCACCTCCTCCGCACATTACAGGATACAACCTCGCTCGGAACCTCCCTACCGCCTCACGGAAACGGCCAATAGTCGTCGGCCGTTAGACCCTGTTGGGAACGCCATTGCTGCGCCTGTGCCCTGGCCGCTGGCGCGGGCGGCGGAGCGGGCCTCGGCGCAAAAGTATCCTGCGCAGTGGACGGCTTATTTCCGGCGGTGCCGAGCGAGATGTTCGTGAGGTTGCCGCTCACTACCACCCACTGCGTCAACGTTGGGCCGGAAGTGGGCGCGCCGTTCTGCTGCAGCAGATACAGCAGCCCAGACTGCGGACTCACCGCGGGAGATGCCAGCACTAGCTGGAAGAGCATCGTCGGCGTCGTGATCCCGGCCTTCGTTAAGACCTTGGAGTAAGCCGTCTTCACGCTCGGCGGGTAGCCAGCCATGGACACGGCACGCGCCACCATCGCGTCCAGCGCCGCTTGTGCCATGGCCAAGGGTTAGCGAGCAAATGCGGCGTTGGAAAAAAGAAAAGGACGCGGCAGACCAGAGGATGGCACCGCGGACTCGTTTCAAATTCTTTTTCTTCGAGCCACGGCTCTCCCCCACCAAATTCTTTCTTCGTACATCTGGAACCTAGTAGGTATGGCCAAGCGTGAGCCAACGACGGACGAGTCCGCGACCACGACTGCCGACGAGCCCGCGGTAGCCGCCGCTGGAGACGCTCTGTCGGAGAGTATTGCAGCCTCACCGCTCAGCCCAGACGCCGCCGACGCCCAGGAAACCACCGCCGACGGCACGGCCAGTGACGTCGCAGCCGCCGCCACGGACGCCATCGTGGGCGGCGACATGCCTCAGCTCTCGAAACGGGCGCAGAAGCGGCTGCTCAAGCAGCAGAGCCAGGTCGAGAAGCGGAAGGCGGAGAAGCAGGCCAAGAAGGAGGCCAAGCGGGCGAAGCGCGAGCAGGCGCAGGCGGAGTGGGAGGCGATGCCGGCAGAGGAGCAGGCGCGCGTCCGCGCCGAGGCGCACGCCAGGGGCGAGCGCGAGCAGCGGCGGCAGGCAGCTCTCAGGGAGAAGGAGGCGAAGGCGGCCGCCGCAGCCGCCCTCTCGGCCGACGGCGCCGACGGGAGCGCGCCTCTAGAAGCCGGATACTCTTCTTGTACTCCAGCCTGCGCCCGAAAGGACACGAACTCCGCTGTAATCGCTGCACTCGTGTCGCTCGTATTCACACGGTGCTCTGAACACACTGCACAATGCCGTATTCCCGAGGAGGGGTACACGTCGCTCGGGGAATCTCGGGGAATCTCGGGGAATCTCGGGGAATCTCGGGGAATCTCGCGGATCTCGCCTATTCAGCGCGTAGGAGCGCGCCACTGCCTTCGGTCGTGATTGACTTGAGCTTCGAGAAGCTGATGACGGCGCGCGAGATTGGCGCGAGATCGGCTCGAGATCAACCACGGCGGTGCAGTGCGTGAGCTGTCGCCTTTTTTTTCCTCTCCCACAGGAGCGCGAGATCGCCTCGCTCGCGCAACAGGTCAGCTACTCGTACTCTTCCAATCGGCGCGCGCCGCCCCCCGATCTGCATACGGACATTCCGAAGACCGTCTTGCACCGCCCCGTTGTTTTTCTTTTCACGCAGGCGCGCCGCCTTCCCGACGCGGCTGGTGCTCTCCTCGCTCGGCGGCGCGACGCGCGCCAAGCTCACGCAGGGCTTCGAGCTCTGGCCCGTGGTGCGGTAAGAATAGCACTGCTACTAATCAGGCATTACTTACCTCTTACTTAGGCTTCGAGCTCTGGCCCGTGGTGCGGTAAGAATAGTACTGCTACTACTCAGGCATTACTTACCTCTTACTTAGGCTTCGAGCTCTGGCCCGTGGTGCGGTAAGAATAGTACTGCTACTACTCAGGCATTACTTACCTCTTAATTAGGCTTCGAGCACTGGCCCGTGGTGCGGTAAGAATAGTACTGCTACTACTCAGGCATTACTTACCTCTTAATTAGGCTTCGAGCTCTGGCCCGTGGTGAGGTAAGAACAGTAATAATAATAATAAGGCATTACTTACCTCTTAATTAGGCTTCGAGCATTGGCCCGTGGTGCGGGAGGAGCGGAGCTACCTCGAGGCGGTCCCTTTGCGCGAGGGGCTCCTCTTCCTCTGACCAAATGAACGAGCCGATTGCTCGACTCATTGCCAGGAGCTCCTTCTGCGCGAGCAGCTGATCTACCTCTAAGTGACGCATGCACCACTTGGCTAATGGGCACAGGTGTTCCCCGATCGCGAGCGGCTGATCTACCTCTCGTCCGAGTCGGAGGAGCTGCTTGCCGGGGAAGAAGGGGCCTATCCACTGCTCAAGTCTCGAGGTCACTGCTCTGTGGGCGAGTTGATTAGGAGCTGCTCGGTGAGGTCGAGCCGCACCTGAATTGGACCTTAATTAAGTGCTCAATTCATCGTTGATTAGGAGCTGCTCGGCGAGGTCGAGCCGGGGTGGGCGTACGTGGTCGGAGGACTGGTCGAACAGGACGCGACGGCGTCGCCCGCGCGGTGAACGGCGTCTCTTCACAGCTCTGGCTGTGAACAGGTCGACCACAACCGGCACAAGGGCCTCACCCACCGGCAGTGCCGCGAGGCGAGCGAGTAGAGCGACGGAGCGGGACGGAGCAAACACGACCCACAGCGGTCAGGGGCTCTCTCTCTCTCTCTCTCTCTCTCTCTCTCTCACGCTCACGATGTGTGGCTTTGTCAAGCTCTCGATCTTCTTCGGCAGCAGCTGGCACGTTGCCTGCGGATCAAGTGTCAATGGGCCTCAGCGCAGCCGTGTGTGTGTGCGCGGGGGGCACGCACACACACACACACACACACACA